CCCCAAAACCCCAAAACCCCAAAACCCCAAAACCCCAAAACCCCTCAATAACTTATTGTTACTGAAATAGAGCTTAAAGTCAAGTTTTATTTTACAAAGCATGAATTATTTTGACAAATTTCTTATATCTTTGTAGGTCTGAAGAGCCTCCTTAGAGTACCTGTGCTTCTTGAGGGGAGTTTCTTTCTTTTTCTCTATCAATTTTAGCTGTTCAAGAATGTCATGGACACTGTTAATGTTATATTCCCCATCAGTTAGAATATTTCTGTTTGGAGAGAGTGAGCGGATCCTTTCATTTACCCTATCAATCTTGCTAAGGTTAGCATCAAACAGAGAATCTTGAGCTCCTGTGTTTTGCTATGAAGGATAAAGGGCTAACTTACCAAATTACTTCCTTTGAATCTTTCAGAGAAGTTGTTATAAGTAGTAACATGTCTCTTGTCAGCAATTTCTCCTTTATAGCCTCTACCTCTACTGCCTAATACAATTGAAATGAGGCTGCATTTATAAATTCTTGTCTAAGCTGCTCAATCAGCATATCCTTAGTTGCTTGACGTTTCATTATTTCTCAAATGATATTGACCGGCTTTGGTTTCTTCATTCAATATATCTGATACTTTGAATTATGCCTAGCTTTAGTCTTTTTAGACTTTTTATTTTCAGGATTATAACGTTTATAAAAGTTCCTTCTAGTGGAAGCTAAATTTTAACATGAAAGGTTACATTTTAGCCCAGTAGAGAAGGGTACCTGGCAAATTGCCTCCAAAATCTCCTGAGTATCTTCTTTATGAATCAGCAAATGTGACTGGGTTTTATTCCGAAATAATTCCTTATTTGATACATCCGGCTTATTTTTCAGTAATTATAACTTCTGGTTCTTCATATTGAGTATTTTTGGGAGTTTTACCCTTGCTAATGTATGAATCTCAAGTAGGAAGGTTAATCATTGTTGCCATTCAAGAAGGAGTTTTACATTGGGAAAATCCCTTGCTCTGGTTTAGAGGAGATCTCGTTGTTCTGATCTGAGGAATCTCATCAAGAGTGTTCCCACTACTCAAAACCCTCTCATTTCTTTGTGGTCTCCCTAGTCTTTTCCTGATGGACTTTCTTGCACTCAGCGTTCCTTTAAGAAAGCTCTTGAATTTCTTTGAGTTTTTAGTTAATAGTTTATTATTGAGTCAATTCTTTGATATTGACAGCAATGTATTACTATTCAATGGCCCTCTGAACATTGGGGAAAAATTGTTGTAGTGTTTAACACTCCTTTCTAAGGTTACTGCTTCTTTGGGAGTGACAACTCTCTCCAAAATAGAATTCATTCTTATCAAAATTTATTATTTTATTCAAATGGGGTTTTGGGGTTTTGGGGTTTTGGGGTTTTGGGG